CAACTTTTTAGTGGGTTTGTTTCTAAGAACACTCCTTATTTTTATTTTAGGTGAAGAAAGCGATTTGGACTATTTCATACGTGAAGCGGGCGAAATATTTGGTATTTCAAGGAACCTACCTATCAATGATAGAGGACCAAAGCGCATATTGGAATATGTTTTGCATCAAGTTGCTGAATTCAAGAAACTCAATCAAGTAGACGTTAATTGCTTCATCAAAGCCATTTTTTCGTTACTGATTCCTTTCATCCCTCCACTCTTTCCCATATACGTCAAAGGCTCTAGCGTCGTTATTTGCAAATGCGCTTCGCAATGTTCAAATCTATAAGGCATATTTTCATGGCGTCTACATCAAAAAAACCGGAGAGAAAACTCTTAAAGATGAAATTCCATGAAAATGAAAAAAGCCATGTTGAACCAACTGGAATTTTTGTCGCCCAATTTGTATCGCCGCCCATCAAAAAATTATAGCTAACGATTAATGATAAAAATTGTGAAAGGACTAGAGTATTGTTTGATATCTAGGAGGATGAAGACGAAGAGCAGAATCTGGCGGATGCAACTATGGAGTTGTTCGAACCAGCGCTCAATCAAGAAGATGAACCATATTTCTCGGACATCGATGACTACGACGACTCTGAATGAACGCTCAAATCGTGAAGTGGATTCTCTGTGTGGCTTCATGCTCTCATTTAAACCATCATTGATGTATCGTCAGCGAACTCTTAACGTGATGTGATAAAGAAATTCTTTTCAATACGTCACAACAAACTGCAACTGTTTTCATTCACTCCATCAAGACGTAGATTGAATTCAACACTATTTTCAAGCAGCGAACAACTGAAACTCTTCCTTCTAGACATTACTCATAAGAAAGAATAACAGCACCTCGAACTCTCAGTTTGATTTCTCGATCACTGCTTTAGTCCGAGATTCGATTTCGATTCATTCATATCAGTTGTTCTTGTAGGGGGNCAAGCAGCAGACAACTGAAACTCTTCCTTCTAGACATTACTCATAAGAAAGAGTAACAGCACCTCGAACTCTCAAGTTGATTTCTCGATCACTGCTTTAGTCCGAGATTCGATTTCGATTCATTCATATTAGTTGTTCTTGTAGGGGGAGGGTCAAAATATCTTTGCGATATAATTTGGGGTTGTCAAGAGTATTACTGGGAACCGCAAGATTTTTCCCGTGGTCACAAACCTATTATTCTACAGTAATGAATAATATCTACTGATCTGCAGTGATCAAATGGGTAACTGAATCGATGAACCTCAAACTCGGGCACTTCAAACTTGGGCAATTGAACCGATTCACCTCAAATTTGGGCACCTCAATCTCGAACAATTGAACCGATCACCTCAAATTTGGATAACTGAATCGATCACCTCAAACTTTTTCTCACATGAGTATCTAAACGCGGTTCGCCTATGGCAACGCTCTTCTCCGCTCTATTTTCTGAGTACCCTCAGTTCGTTTAAGTTTGAACAAAAGTCAGTTTGAAAAGGTTAAAACTATTTCGCAATCTCTTTAATATGTTGATTGACATTGTTTCTCATGAGCAGTAAGAATTCGTTGGGTTGTTTATTGCGGCAGAAAAAGATCACCGGTTTGATGCGAGACGAGCGAGTGTGGCTGAATTCATTCATTCATGATT